TCACACTGATTTTCTCAGGAAAGCAGATGGAATTCTCTTTTCCAGCACATTTTCCTCAAACAACTTCNGCTTTGAGACACTGACAGAAATATTTTTATTTACTTTACTTCTTGTCTTTAACCTGTGCAGGCACTTGGGTGCATGCTCACATACTCACAGACACACTGATTTTCTCAGGAAAGCGGATGGAATTCTCTTTTCCAGCACATTTTCCTCAAACAACTTCCTCATTGGTAGCATAGAAGTCAAAGAATATATTTTTATTTCTTACACCACAAGCTCAATAGGAATGAAAAAATGAGGCCAGCTGGAATGTTTCCTCCTCTCTGTGCCTGTTCCAGTGAGCATAGCACCGAATAAAGTGTTGGTTTATTTAATGCCCCAGTGATCCCAGGAGAGGGTCCCTGGTGTCATCAGCAGTTGGGGGGGAAGACAGGAGACAGGGGATGTGCAGGAGCTCCCTGAGACCCCACTAGCAGGTGGAGCATGGGGCTCCAGCTCAGCAGCCCAGGACCCTGCACCCTGCTCCCTGTGACCATCTGAAATGCCCTGTTCCTTCAGCACAGCACCCTGTGGGGCAGGGGTACTGCCCCCCCGAGCTGGCACTGGGTCAGGGTGAAGACTGGCGAGTGAATGGCCCAGCTGAACAAGGCCATCCCGCAGCATCATTCACTGAGGCTGTGCTCAGTCAGGGCCTGGCACCCACTGAGCTGGCATACAGACTCCCCTGCTTTCAAGAGCCATCAAGAGGAGGTCAAGCCAGCGTTGCCAAGTCAGTGAGTGCCCATCAGGGCCAAGAATAACGCTGTACTCTCTGCTGAATAGCCTCCTCCCAAAGGTCTGACGCCCCAAATACGGAGGATCTCCTTTCAGCTGCCAAGAGGAGCTAAACTCTCCTAAATTCTCCCAAGCTGGCCTCTAATCTCCTGAAACCGTAACAGGCAAGAGCCCTCATTTCTTCATTTATGTCAGAAGGGAAAGGTTGAGTCAGGATGAAAAGGTTACGCTGGAAAGATTTAAGGTGTTCCTGTCATTTTTTAGGTTGGATTGGTTTCACTGGGTACCTTGCCAAACAAAAATTTAACTGAAAATTGTTTCGGAGGAAAATGTAATTGTAAGAAGATAAAATCAACAGGCCCCATGACAAGCCGTGGGGGATGGTTTGATGGATTCTCCGCTGAGTCCAACCAGGTGCTGTTTTGGGTGTGCAGGTAAATAAATACACACGAGCTACTGTGCAGCTCCCAGAGGCAGAGGCCTGTCCCGTGCGCCACTGTCAAGGTGGCTGGACAGAGAGCCCAGGGAGGGGAGGGGTTAGACATGGAATGGAAGGTCAGGAAGCCTGTACCCCGAGGCCTGTCAGAGCAGCTGGCAGTTGACAAAGTGCTTTGGCACAGACGCTGGGATGTGCCCTCCCCAGTTCCAGGGTCCACAGGTACAGGGGCTGAGGCAGATGGTCACTTGCCCTGGGGGAGCTCACACAGCCAATGAGGGAGGGAGATGGAACAGGACATAGTCTTCAGCCCACAAGCAGCTACTGTTCCGGTTCCCACCCTGTCCTTCTTTCAAAGAAGGGCATCCTGGGGGCAGGTCCTGCAGGTCCCTGGGGCACAGCCCCCTCCATCAAGCTTGGGTTCCCTCCCAGCACATGGGGACCTTGGTGATAGTGTCTAGCCTGCAGATTGGAAGGAGGGTGGATGTCTGATTTCAGCAATTTGGGTGCTCCCCCCATCAGAGCTGATAGGCACACCCTGGGGCAGCTGGAGTGGCCCAGAGGCCCCCCTTCCCCCCAGCCATGCAGCCCCATCCTCATTGTCACTTGGGATTTTACAGATCTTTTTTCAATAGAAAAAATGCAGCCTATTTCCCTGTATTATTTTTTAAACCCGAGCACAAAGTTTTCCAAACACTAACTGAATTCACATCTACCTCATGGGGCCACCCTCTCACGGGGAAGGGACCCTCTTGCCCTTCAGTGATGTGCAGGCCTGTTACCCCTGTGGGAGGGACCCACAAGCATGGAAGGTTTGAAGGGAGAGAAAATCTGCTTATGAGGCAAGAGCGCCCCCTGTCATCTCAGTGAGCCTCTGAGAGGCCAGCACCTCCCAAGGGCGGCTGAGGCGGCCTAGACCGCGGAGGGAGCCCTCAGCCTCACCCAGACCCTGCTGCAGACTGGCCACGGCGCAGAGGTCCCCTGAGCAGTCAGCAGCAGGAAAGGACGGGGGCCTGGTGTACCTGCCAGGGGTACAGGCTCATCAGTAAACACACCCGTCCAGGACCTTAAGAAGAAATCAAACGAAACAAAGCAAAACAAAACAAAATGTTGGCAATGATCTGGTTTCCTTGTGGCTCCAACTTTTTTTCTTCCTCCTGTGCTGATTGACTAACATGCACTCCGTCAAAAAATAAACAAAGCTGTCTGGGGTGGGGGACACTCAAATGGGCTATGTTTCAGCTAAAAAGATTTGACCACTGAAGATTCCAGACGCAACACCAGATAGAAAAACCACCATCTAGTCTCCTCCAAGAGGCTCTGAGGAGGGACCCCATGGACCTGGACTAAGGAGCTGGGGCCAGAAAAGGTGGACAGGAAAAACAAGGATTACCCCCCATACCTGCTAACAGTCACCGTGTGTGTGGGAGGTTTCCACACCTGTGTGACCACCCCCCTCATTTCCAATAAGCTGGAAATTCAGGGCATGGAGAGAGGGAGACCAGCCAAAAACACATCCCAGCAGCTCTTTGTTCTGCTCCCAGGACAGAGTGCAGCAACATTTAGACCTGACCACGTGGTGTCACCTCCAACCAGTGAGTCCTGCCTCATCAACGGGCCAAGCACTGTGGACCTCACCCATCACAGTGTCTCCTGAAAAGCAGCAGGGGATGCTGGCCAGGCTGGGAGACCCCGGAGGAAGGAGGCAGGCTCTGCCCATCTCCAAAGTCTCTCTTCTGAGGCCACTCTCCCCACCCCCTCATCAGACTTTAGTTGTTTCATGAAATGCAAGAGAACAGAAGAGGCACTATAGGAAAGAGTGGCGCAGTTACATGCACGTGATGGCAAGGTAAAACGTATCCCTTCTGGTGAAGCATCCCAGAAACATGAACAATGGTGGCTTACAGCAAGGGCTCTCACACCTGGCCACCTGGGAGAATCACGGGGTCTTGAAGTTCCCTGGATGCAGCTCTGTCTACACCAGTGAATTCACATCTCCGGAGGTGCGGCCTGACAGCCATACCTCTTGGAGACCCACGCACAGGTATGAGAATTACTTTGTCAAGAACAATGGTGCAGCGTCGGCTCCCACTGGCCACGCACAGGAAGGAGTCAGCAAATGGTGGGTAGGGGCTGTCTTGGAGCCATGAGGTCCACCAGTCACTAGTTCCAGGGGTGCAGGAGAAATGCTCCCCGGGAAGGGGTGCCTGGAGAGGCCCAAGAATGTGGGAGCTGCTGCCCAGAGCATGGGGCCAGAACCCGTCAGAGATGCCCAGGGGCATGGGCACTGATGGGAAGCAGAGACCTGTAACTGACAGCACGGCTCAGGTCTGTCCAACCCAGTAACAAAATGGGCTTTTATTTTGTAAATATCCAGGGTTTTTCTTTTTTTGTTTCATTTTTTGAGTTAATTCATTTTATTGTATTTTACATGACTATTGGCACACGACCAATCGGATATTAAAACATAAACAAGCCCTTCAGTGCAGACCATTTGAGAGGCAAGCATTCAGAGGGCAAGGGAAACCACGACTTCCACTCAGAGGGGACACGTGTCCCACCTGCAGAGAGCCACTGTGGTCTCCATGGCCCGGCCGCAGCTGTCCAGGGGTGGAAGGTGCAGGCCGGGTCTGACGAAGGCCGCACCTCTTCCCTCCCCTCCCTGGCCAGTGCTGCCCAGAGGTCAGGACCGAAGGCTGGGTGGGTGGCAGGAGGGTGTCCTGGAGAGGCGAGGATGGGGTGGCTGGGACAAGCCCAGGGCCACACAGACGAGGGACCAACAGGCCTCATTCACGAGGTGGAGTTCGAAGATCTAGGGCTGGTTGGAGGCAGCGGCCCAGAGAAGCCTCCTTTCTCGCAGGGAAGGCAAGGCCAATGGCCAGAGGCAGTCAGGGCAACAGGAGAACGGGGGAGTCTGGACTAAGGGGGGTAAGAGCAGTTACTGGAAAAGGGCAAGGAGCACCTGAGTGCTGAGGGCACAAAGGATGTGTCCCATCTCTGCTATGACACTTACTGAATAACCTTGACCCCCCTGTGCCTGTTTACTCACCTGGAGATAGGAACTATACCTGTGCCAAGGGGTCAGGCACCCACTAATCACTTACCAACGTCAGCCCCACCTCAGAGATGCCGTCTATAGGGTCTTGGCTAAAGCCCCCAGTGTTCCTTACCCTGCACAAGGGGCTGAGGGGCGAGCAAGGGTGAGAACCAGGGTTGGGGTCTTGCTAGGAGAATCAACTGACAGCAGGTGAGGGACTTTACCTTGGGGGGCTGTGGCATGGGCCATGTAGCTGGATGAGACAGCAGGGGAACAGCGAGGTTGGAACTGGAGGCCCGATGGCCTTAAGTGGGCGAGGAATGAGCTGAAATGACCAGATGCCGAGGTTAGGGCGTGTCTGAAGCAACCACAGCACACCTTCCAGGACCCATCTTGATGAGGACCAGCATCTTATAAACACTGACAGTACATGAAAACCCAGCCCACCAGGAAACCGCCCATTTCCTGGGCCAGGTGGTGCTATCACACCTCATTTACACACATCAGCAAAGGTCACTCCAGCCACTGCAGTCTCGGCAACACTGAGATTCCCTGCGACCTCATGGGAGCACAGAGCTGGGGAGGGGCCAGTGGTCTCCAGCAGCACCTGCTCAGAGCACCCTCGGGAACCTTCTGTGGAAGGACCTGTGTGGTGTATTCATAATACCTGCCTTCAAATTGCTGTGGATCATTCTGGAACACACACTCAAAGGGGCCCTGTAGTCTGAGACAAGTAGTTCTGTCACTCACTGGTTTGTAAGAATTTTTATACATTTCCTTATAAAGTCTACACATAAGTTACATTTCAAGATACATTTTGATTTAACAACTTAAAATGTGTCTTTTTTAAAGCGATACAAATGACCTAAGAGTAAGGAGAAGTCTAAGTACACAGTACCCCAGTATCAGCTGGTCAGAAATCACAGACACAGTATCATTCGAATGGTTTTACTGAACCCCCATCAGTGCAGCATGAGAGCAGACTCTGTTCCAGTTCCGATTCTCTCATCTGGAACCTGCAACTGCCACCAGGTTCTGAGTTTACTGAACCAATGGATGAAATAGTTTTTCATTGCCTTATTAGAAAATTCGAGGATGTGGAACTATAGAAACCACCCTTTCCCTTGAGGAAAGTTCACTTAAACACACACTACATGTTTTCCAAAGTTTATTAAAAATCAAATAGAAAAACTTTACATAAAAATATGTCAATTTTAGTCTCCACATTGTTGTCCACACACACAAAAAATCAAAACATGATATCTTTTTGTTAAACCTGTAGTGCGTGACTACAGTGGTAGCCAGGCCAATTCATTCAGTTCACCATGACAGGGTGGAGCATGGCACCTGTGCCTGCATATCGAGCTTTAAAATGGGCACCCACGGGACACTGGCCACCATCCCCGCAGTGGTGTCCTTAGTGTAGGGTTACAGTCAATATTGCTAATACGTAGAGATTAGTACAGACCTACATATCAGTTTTTATAAATATTTCTTTATCAATAGGTTCACAATTTAAATATCTTTAAATATTTTTGATAGCTTTCGATCATTAAGAACTGCAGACAAAATGTGCTACTCTATTCTGGAATGCCTCCTAGAGAACCTGCAGTCACAGCTGGCAGCTCTCAACAACAATGTGGGCCAGTCCTGCTTAAAAACAAAACAGACCATAGACATTTTAAAGCTTGTCCTTGCCAGGTGTCCATCACTTTCAGATATCACTCTGCGTATCAATCAGGTGTCATGGTAATAAGTTTCTCCTCTCAACATTCTCCACTAGTGGACTCAAAGGCAAACCTCCCTGTAGTGTTCAGCAGGGCTACTAGCCCATGTTAGAAATGGGAAGTCAGGTGACCTATGAGATGCAGCTACCTCCCAGGACAACTGTGGTGCTCCAAAAACTCAGGGTTAGGCGGGATGGATATATTCTTGTTCAAAAAAAGGTAACAAAGACAGTGGTTGTCATGGCAGAATACACTTGCATAGTATACCGGTATGCTTCTCAAGTTGGGCGACAGCCGCTCCCAGCCCCAACACCGGGCTGTGCTCTCCTGCAATACATTAGGAATACTCCCCACGGCACACTGAGCAGCTGAAGCGCTCCTCACATATTTGCTCTTAACAGAACGAATGCATACTGCTACAGATTCCTCAATGGAATCAACATAATCCCTTTCTCCACATTCCTAAAACTGGGCACCATTGTCCGTAATGATCTTCACCAGACCCATCATTACAGGCTATGTGACTAAAACTGACTGAAGCATGTAGTTCCCTTTTTTTTTAAGATTTTATAATGTGACAGACAACCTCTTCTCTCCTTAGAAAGTTATACTTCTGGCACTTTAAATGCTGGATTTGTTGTCTAGTTTAAAAGAACCAAAAACCAAAACATTAAAACTCCATGGTCAGAGAGAGACGACAGGCTGGACGGCAGAGCCGGCAGGCAGCTGGTCAGAAGACTTGGGGGCCAAACCCCTTCAGAAAACCAGGGGGCAACTCGGCTCCTTCATCACAAATTGAGAGGCCTCCCCTCTGACCCAAGGAATAAAAATAAACCCAAGCCCCTCACTCATAGTGTTTGCAACCACGCTCATCAGACAACCAGCCGACTTGATGAACCCAACTTAGAAAATGTAACTGGGGAAAGGACCTAAGCTTGTTTAAAAAAACTCCCTCCTCCATTAAATATAACTTATGTGAAAATATGAAATTAAATAAAAAATATCTTGAGTTATTGCACAAATAATAAGTTTTCAATATTTACATAGAAAAACAGTTCTGAAACTTGAAACGAAATGCGAGGGCAGTAAAACAATGGCGACTCCCGTCCTATTCGTCGCGGAAGAACCAAGGACAGGGCTGATCGCTGGAGCTCTGACAAACGTAAAAGAAATACTCAACCTCAAAGGAACAGGCACGGCTACCAAAAAACAAATGCCACAGCCAGCTTCACCCCTGCAGCTCCAGGTCCAGGCCTGCTTCTGGAAGGATCCTGGGAAGGCAGAAAACAGCGTCCACACGGATAAGGCTTCACAGATGAGCACAAGGAGCTGTACTTTAAGATGGACGTGACCACCACACAAGGAACATGCAGAGTGCTCAGCGGCGGGCATTCGCGGGGCCCGGCCGATGTGCTGGATGCTGGTCTCAGTTCCCGCCAGGCGCCGAGGCCACCCGGCTCAGTCTCGGAGGGTGGGGCCAGGGGGCACCGCTGGGAGCCACTATCTGCTGAGGCTGACGGGCAGGCTGTCCCTCGTGTGCGCGTGTTTTTTTCTCCTCCAGCCAGCACGGTTATACTGGTGGTGCCCCCGGTTGCCCACTGGGGGCCGCACGCCTCCAGTGCCCACGGAGCTGTAGCCACCACCCTGGCTGTGGTTGTGAGAGCCTTTCATGGCCAGCTTCATGCCGCTGTGCTGCTGAAGAGATAGAGACACAGCAGTGACGGAGGGTGGCCTGGGAACAGCAGGCGGCCGCTGGGAGATCCCCCCCCCCCGCCTGGGAGCAGTGAGCCTGTGCAACAGGGGAGCTGACTGCAGTGACGGAGGTGGAGCACAGTAAGCACAGCAAACACACCGGCCTCAGACACTGCGCCTTGTTCCTGCTGGAAGATGCCAGTCCCAGCTCTGCAAACACCTGGGCGCTTCAAGAGCGCAGGAAGTCTGTAATGGCCTGTTTTCCTACTACACCACTGCTTCTAATGTGTGGGATCTGCACTCAGATTAGTCACAGAGAAACGGGGAAACGCATTCGCAGGGACCTAGAAAGCAAATGAACTTCGGGCCCTGCCAGCCCACCTCCCCCTCTGCCAGGCGCCCAGGCCATGCCCTGGTGGGAGTTCACGTGGGATGAAAGCACTGCCAGGGGCCACAGCTGTATTTGTTCTAGATTCTACTGCTTGCTTCTTGAAAACCAAAGTTTTTAGCACATAAATTGATAAATGGGAAAACAAAATATTCTTCACATCAAACCTTATTTCAAACTTTAGTTTTATGCTAACAAGTTCAACAGACGAATTAAGAGAAATATATGTGGAAAAGAATTAAACTATATTAAATTTTAAAATAATTTCTTAACACTTTGTTACAAGGGGAAGCAAACATGAAGCTGAATGATCAGAAAACAAATTCCCCTTTGAAAAGCCTCTGTGGAATTCTCTCTTTGGTGGAGGAAGCTATGAACACTGCCTATCATGAACCTGGTGTGGTGGGTACCAGGGGCCTGGGTCGGATAGGAGACCTACCTTATGATACAGATGAGGGCTGGAGAGCGGGTTGGGAGATGCGGATGGAATGGCTGGGGAAGACATGTGGTGCACTGCCTTCAGTGCCGAAGTTCCTTCAACACCAACTTGTCTACAAGGAACGGGAGCCACCCCCAGGGTCGGCGGAGGTATAGTAAACCTGGTCTAGGGAAAGAACCACCAGAGACACCTGTAAGGCACGGGTCTGACACAGGTCAACCATCCCAGTCCCAGGGCTGAGCACCGAAAAAGCTGCCATTTGCAAAAAGGCTCATGACTCTGGTTTATGTTTGACTAGAACCTCACCAGATTTTGTTCCGAATCAGAAACATTTTGTTTCGAAACAGCAATTACAATATGAAGTATGCCCAGTGACAAAAGTCAGAAAGTTTCAATATTCACTAAGACCAAACAATAATTCGAAGACTTCAGGCATCAAAGTAACTGTCCCTCGAATCTCTGGAAAGAGCCCACAGTAGTGACGGCCCACAGCCGGTGCCAAGGCAGGTGGTCCCTGCCCCTCCTCCATAGTTTGTGGGCTGCTCCTATTTCTGCATCACCACCCTGTCACAGCCCAGAGTGCTGGCGTGAATCCCTCTCCCTAGACTTTCCAAAACTGCACTGCTCACATCCTGCAGTCCTCTGCCCCACAGACCTCTGGAGAGTGACCGCGACCCTCCTTGCATGTATCTATGAAGCTTTACACTGAATTATAACCCACACTGTAGAAACTGTTTTTACTTTTAAAGTAAATTAATGTGATAGGTTTTTTACATATACATATTCAACTGATTTATAATTGGGAAGTAGATACAAAATTCAGTATTTCTGAAATTGTCTTTCAGACTTCTAATTTTGTCTAAATTTAAAAAAAAGAGAACATATTCTAATAGAAAAAGCCCTATAAATACTGCCTATGTGAAAAAGTAAAAATAATTTGAAAAAGCCAAAGTTGCTATTAAACTTGATAAAAGACACTGATTCTCAGAGGCAACAGGGACAAGTGTCCGTTTCTGCCTGGGGAAAGCATTAAAGTCCTCTTTTCAACACAACCCTAGGACATTGGTCTCACACTGTGTATCAATGTAATTTGCAGAACGATGGTCAATATGGACCTTGTCAAAGCCATTTCGGTATTCAAGAACCAAGTCCCCTCACCACAAACACTGTGCATGATGAACCTCGACAATACTGTCTTTTAAAGAATCACAGGACTGGCTGGGCGTGGCTCAGCGGTTGAGCGTTGACCTAGGATCCAGGCGATCGGGGTTCGATTCCCGGTCAGGGACATGCCCGGGTTGCAGGCTTGATCCCCAGTCGGGGGCGTGCAGGAGGCAGCCAATCAATGACTCTTTCATCACTGATGTTTCTCTCTCTCTCTCCCTCTCCTTTCCTCTCTCTGAAATCAATAAAGATATATTTAAAAAAAAAAAAAAAAAGAATCACAGGAACTACATTCTATGGGATCCACAATTGACAGAATTTCCTACAAGATAGGAATGTACCTTCCAAAGACTTTTAAAGTTTTTTCCCTAAATCAAAATGTCAGCCCCTCCTACATGGTTCCCAAAGGCCCACTGGTTCCCAGTGGATGGACACCAGTGGCCACGTACCTGAGTGTTAGTTGTCATGACCAATGTTCTGGGAGTAGTGGACTGAGGTTTGCCACTCGGCATGGGCAAGGCGGTGGGCAAGCTGGCCAGCAGAGGACTGGGCGCTTGCAGACTGAACTGGTAAACGCTGGGCGTTGTGCAGGGCGGTGTGTCGGAATCCTGTGAGCAAAGAGAACGGGGGGTGGGTTTGTACAGAGGTGCATGACTTCTTAAGGTCACGAAAGAAGCGTGTGCAGTGTGCTTGCTATGCAAGGTTGCTAGAACCCGTCCATCACTGCTGCTCAACAACAGGCAGCCCAAAGCTGCTCACATTTCCTTCATTTCAAAGCTGAAGAAAAATGTAAAGGAAATGTAGAAGGGACACCTAGACATAAATGTTTTATTTCCAAATAAGTTTTTAAAAAACTATTCAAGGAAGTCCACTGTGATTCTACTGTCAGTGGCATTATTGTTCATAAGGGGCCATGTGGGCCACTGAGACAGGCTCACAGCAAAGTGGAAACCCTTGCTGCAGACCTGTGGTGGTTTCATACACACACACAGCTAAGGACATTTTCCACAAACACAGACCACCCAGCAGACACACTCACAATGTCACTTCCAGAAAGTGAAGACACAGAAGAAGCAGAGGAGCCTGAGGAGAGAAGCTGGGGGCTGGGCAGAGACAAGGTCAAGTGCTGGCTGTAGGGTGGCTCCGGATCTCGGCGTTGGGGCTGCTCCCCATCACACGTGCTTATTCGCTCTTTTATCTTAATTCTATTGTCTGTGGAAGGAAAAACAACAGAGGTGATCCACTTTCTAGGTGTGCAGATATACGGACGTTATGGGACAGCCACCAGCCACAGGTGTGACTGAGCCTTAAGATGATGCTAATGAGACCGACAAATTGAATTTCTTATTTAAAAATTTTATGTTTCAGTTACTGGAAAACATTTAAATATACTTGAAACAATTTGCATATGTAAATAGTTTTCAACTTCACATTTTATGAAATCTAAATACAGATTAACCATTTCTGGTGGAAGTTTAGCATCTTAGCTGTAAAGTGCTACATGTATAACTACATACTGGATTCCAGGTCTTGTATAAAGAAGACTGCAAAATATCTCATTAATTTTTTAGATTGATTACATTTTGAAATGATAATTTGAATACTAAATTGAATAAATCATATTATCAAAATTAATTTCACCTGTTTCTTTTCACATTTTTAAGGGAGTTCCTAGAAACCTTAAAATTCCATGTGGCACACATTATATTCTACTGAATGGTGCTGGCCTAAGTCTTATAGTTTTAAATTAAACTCTTAGAGAAAAACTAGGTATTTTCCTTAGTGTGAACAATCCCCATGAAAGGACAAAGGGATACTCCTGCACAAGTGGTCAGAAGGTGCAAGGCGACCCGACAGAGTCTCTCACCAAGGTCAGGAGCTGGGTGGACCTTGCTGCCCCACTTCTCCTTGATCCACCTCCGGTAGTCAATCACTTCCTGAGTTACTTTGACAATTCTTCCTAAAGTACTGCAAAGGACAGGGAGGGAAATCAACACAGAGCAACAGGACTGTGAAGCCATGAAGCCTTTTCAGTAGCTACTTATACTTTTAACAATATATTGCTTTGCTAAGCAAAATACAGGAAAAAAAGCTAAAATAATTTTTAAAACTATATATGACTTCTGATGTTTCAGCCCAAACGTACTTTGATATCACAGTAAAAGTGGATTCATTTATGTAGAAGTCTTTGAACCTAAAATGATCTAAAAAAGACTATTTAAACCCAATGCCAAAGTAGGGAAGTCCACCCTCCCGACCCGCCGTGATCATGAAGGTCTGACATTCCCACTTCCCACTGTACAGTGAGAACGGAGAGACAGTGCACCCTTCGTGGAACCCAAAGCACTGCCTGAAAACACTGAGTGGAGAGAGGCCACAAAACCCATGACAGCTCTACCACCACCAGTGTGAGGCCTCCAAAGCTACTTATTCCACATCCTGCCCAAGAAACAGAGCCAATGGCACTGTTTCAACTACCACTTGCAACAATCACACTATTATTCTTCCACTCCCTGCTCTTACCTCTCTCTCTTCATCCCCCAATCCCACCATCTCCACCACCACAGCATAATCTGAGGTCAGAAATAAGTACTTCTCACTAGCAATGAAAGTGTACACTGCAAGTGTTCCAGAATGCAGAATGATGGACAACTGTGCCTAAGAGAGAAGGGGTAGGGCCTGCAGACTCAGATATACATTCGTGTAGAGCTGACTATCCAACATTTCAAAGACTGCCTCGAGAAAAAGCATCATGTCCCGAAGTTTTAAATGCCAAGAATCACCTACCCAAAACAAAATATTCGGGGGGGGG